CTTGAAAAAGAAGAAATATTTATCTAACTTGAGCCACCTAAGCTTACAATCGGACTTCAATCATCATTGAGTTTGAAAAATTAAAGTCTAGCCACTCTAGGGAAACAAAGAGAAAATTTTATCTATTTATAGAGAATTTGTAGTGAGAGAACTTGTATTTAATAGAAGAGAGCATCTGTGTTTATAGAGTAATTTTATCTTCTAAAATTGAGCTTTAAAATTATTATTATCTTCATTCTACCACAAAATGATAAATTATAATTAAATTAAAATATTTAAACATAATAAATTATTAAAAAGTAAAATAAATATATAAAAAATGGGTGTATTTTCCATCTTATGAATAGGGAGAAGATAACATTTTGATGATCTTTCGTCAATAGGGAGAAGATAGCATTTTGATGATCTTTCGTGAGACAAACATATGATTCAACATCTTGGCCTTTCTGGTGCTTTATATTTTTTCATGTGCTTGGTTATTGTTATTTGGCTAAGTCTTACTATTGCTTGGGGATAAGGAAAATGTTGAGTTTGGGCATGTGATTACACTTGTTTACAATGATGAGAAATATATTAAAATTAGAATGTTTTACTCTATTTAAAAGTTAGTATGTTTCAGTTTGTTTAAGTGCTCAATTGAGGTTATATTCATTGACTATGATGAATCATGATTTATTTCTAAGTTTTAGCATCATTTCGAGGTGAAAAAACTATCAAAAACCGAAATTTGTGCATGGGTGGGACACAGGAGCCGCTGCACCACCCTGGGAAAACTTATTTTCTTTCGTTTTCGTCCTTCATTAAATGCAAGTTCCAACATGTCTTGAGTACTTCCTAATCTCCATACATGCCAAGAAACCATAGAAGAAGGGGTTTGAACAAGATTTTCATCAAGCTTCACTCTTTTACTTGATAATTTGCAAGGTATTTTGAATTATTCTCCAGCAAAAATAAGGATTAGTTAGTTCAATAAGTTACCTTTGCTTTGGGCTTTAATTTTAAGTCGTTGTTCTCGTTTGCAAGCAACTTTTCAGCTTAGTTTTTACTTGTACTTTTGATCGATCGATTTATAAATTTCTAGACTTGTTCTCCTTTATATTTGCATTTTTTTTAATAGAGATTTGTGATCACGCATTATTGTGCAATTGAACAAGCTTTACTTACCTAAGCTCGTTAGAGGAAGGGTAACATTCATTCATATTACAACTTCTCGTTTACATGGCATTCTTCAATTTTTCTTTCTCAGATCATGTTTCCCTTTTGAAAGGCCTTTACATTCTATTTGTACTTTAAAATTACAGACTGAGCTTGTTTTTCGTAGCCTGGTTACGGATGATTAGCTAATTATTTAAAACATGACAACAACCTCTATAAATCACAATTGACAATAAGTCTTTACCTCTATAAAACACAGTTGGCAATAAGTTTTTACCACTAGATTGTCTATAAATCACAGTTGACAATAAGTGTTTACTCCTAGCTGTCTCACTACTCCTCACTATTTCTTCACAATCTATCACGCGGTATCTCTCTCGTTCTCTACTTTTATTTATTTATTTTTCTCTCCCCAATACATGGTAGCTTCTTTCATCTCCCTCCTTTTTTTTTTGTCACTACTTTTGTTTATTATTTGTTTCATCTCCTTATTTTCTTTTATCCTAAATGTGGTTGTATCACTATTTTCTACACATTTTTTTATTCATTGTTTGACTCGCACCGGATTTAAAAAAGGAGGCAAGAATTGAAGTTTGTTTAAACGATGGTAATTTTCCATGATTTTATCGAATTAGAAAAAAGGATTCTTTTTGCCTACCTTTTTTCCAAGTACGAGTTTGACTCTTTCAACATTATTTTCGTGATAAATTCCTCCCACGATTATGTTTATATTATTGTTTCTTGTCACACGAGAATTTATTAATTCAATTTTAAAGTATGTTTATTTCAAATAGGCATATAATATTTAACAAACGTGTATATATTATGTCAATTTCATTGTGTTGACATTTGGTGGAGAGTTATAAATTTTATTAAAAATTTTTAACTTAAATTTCAAAAAGAGAACTTTCCGACGATATAACTTTCAAATATTTGTGAGGCCGATATTATAGGATTCTTAAGGTGAAGAATCATTATCTTGGAAGTCCGAGAATTGATTTTTGGTATGTTTCCTTAATTAATGAATACACATTTACTCATTTAGTTAAATTGTTAACGTTTATTTCTCTATGCCTGATTTGTTATTAATTCACTATTTTATATAACACCTTTTATGTGCCTAAAGTTATTTTTCTTAAAAAATAAATATATTTCCTTAAATCCAAGTTTAATTTTTTAAGAGATAAAATCAAAAGTGTTTCGACTAAAATCTTCATTTCTTTTGTATAATATTTTTCCCTTAAAAAAATATGTGGTAAAATTTGTTTATTCACGAATATTTGTTGGATCAACATGACAACTCTAGGGGTGAATAGGTTTTAATCAAAATTTATAAATTTTTTAATACGGTGGGTCCAATTTAAACAATTATGTAAACTTTTTACAAATAAATCATTTGAACACAAAATTAAACAACAAATTAGAAGTACGAACACCCTAATCAATTTCACCACCCAAATAATTCAAATATTAATATTGACCATAAACATGAATAACAAATTCAAACATTTAATTTCATGCAATTTGTAGTAAAGAAAATTAATTGCAAAAATTAAATAGAGAGGATTAGAGAAAATGACACTGGAAATTTATAGTGGTTCGGCAACAATCGGCCTACTCCACTTCCCAAGCTCCTCTTGAGTGTTCAATTGAACAACTTGACTCTTTCCACGACTTAGATTTCAACCGTGACAATGTTCTTTTTCTGAGAGCAAGAACAAACCCGATCCTTTCCACAGTCTAGGATCAAACAATTACAAATGCTCTTTTTCGAGCTCAAGAGCAACCTTTACAAATAATAAGGAAATTTGAGAACAAACTCACAAACTCTCTAAAAATAGTAGATATGCAAATTTTCCTCACAAATTTCTAAGAAAAATTCTTACAAAATAAAACGGTCAAATGGCTAAGAAGAAATAAAATTGAATAGCTCAAAGATCTCTCAAATTAAATCTCCTTCAAGAATTTAGAATAAAAATTGAAGCTTTAATGTAGAAATTGGAGAGAAATTTGGGGAGGAAATTGTTGTAGATTTTTTAAGGAGGAAAAGTTATTGAAATTTATTTGAAATCAAAATCAATTGATAGACCATGAGATTTCAAATGATTAAAGATCAAATGCTGAGATTTAATTGAATATAATAAGAATAATATATTATATATAAAACACCCAAACGACTAGTTTTATAATTTTTTTTATGATTAAAGATCAAAGGTTGAGATTTAATTGAATATAATAAGAATAATATATTATATATAAAACACCCAAACGACTAGTTTTAGAATTTTTTTTTGATCAAAGATCAAAGGTTGAGATTTAATTGAATATGATAATAATAATATATTATATATAAAACACCCAAACCACTAGTTTTAGAATTTTTTTTTAAACTGACCATGCGTCAGTTGCATTAAATGATTTTTTTTTCTAACTTCCCTTTTCAAGTTAAAACGGTAACTTTTATATATATGTGTATTTTTTTTCTCTCTTTTATTTTTCTTTTTCTTTCGTCTCAATATATATATCTTTTTTTCCTTTACACCAAGCCACATCCTTTTCACCAAGCCACATGTCAGTAAACCACGGTCGGCATTCACCACAAATATTTTTCTTTCAACTTATTTGGATCATAATTTCTCCGTTTGAACTTCGATTTGAATAATTCAAAATCCATTCTAATCATTGTAACGAGCTCTACGATGTAGACGCTTCAAAATATTAAAATTGTCAAATAACAGAATTAAGTTTGTTATCATCAAAACATTAATTAATTGAATTAATCAGTTAATTTGAGATTAAGGGTCAAAAAGTCAACACACTCCTTCGTAAGAGAATATATATATATATATTTATTTATTTATTTATTTAAAAGGAATATTAAAAATCAACATGGTATTTTTGAATTAACAAACTAAATCTTTCTTTTATATTTTTTTCCAAAAAAAAAAAAACAACTCTACGATGGAAATAGGAATCCATGGTTGATTTCCGAAATATTCTTTCGGCGCTTAATTTATTCTGGGCAACCAAAGTAAATTCAAATAATTAAAATTTTCTTAATGGTTTAGCTCACTCATAATTACTGCTCATTATTACAACATGAGACTATATATATACATTTTTTTTTTCTTTAAAACCATTCTCTTGAAAATAATATAAGAAAATAAATTAATGTTTATTAAATGATCCTTTTGGGATGGTGATACTTTTCCACATTCACAAAAGACCCAAACCCAAATCATTTTGTGCCGATCAACTTATCTATGAATTTGGATGACCAATCATATACTCTGTAAATCAAGATTGATGACGACTCCATTTTTTCGTCTCAGGAAGAAAGTCGAGAGATACACGTCGCAAATCCATAGCACAGGGGTCAACATGAGAATTTTTGAATGATAACGACAGCTACTCCTAACTCTTTTCTTTGGTTTGAAATCAACAAATTTGTTGGACTAAAAAAAATGAAGTTGTATATGAAAAACCTAATGTTTGGACCTCTCCTATATCAAAGTAATTGTAAAACCGAACCTTTTTCAATATATTTATTTTTTTTTTCATGTTTAGGTCAAGTAAACGACAAATGAACATTTTAAATTTCATTCCAATTAACTCATAACTTTTGGAAAGACCATTAGATTTCGACCAACATAAACTAGTGTGGTTTTTGCCCTCAATCTATATTGATGCGACAGCTAAAACACAAAACAAAGTGGATCAAAAAAGAGTTCATTTATTTATTTGAGCATGGGTGGTTCAATGGAGTCCCACATGCTGATGTAGGCGACGGAAAATTATTAGAAAGCTAAGGGAAGATAATCCTTTTCCTAAAAAAAAAAACAAGATAATCAGTAAGTTTGGCAGCGCACCAAATTAATCATTATTTGAGACTCAAAGTTGAGACAATTAGCTTGACCCTGATTCACGCTTTCCCTTTTCTACGGTAGTGTAGTGACTTTTGCTTTAGCTTTCTCTTTTGCTTCCTTAATAGTTGTTTCTACTTTCTCAAACATGACTGCGTCTGCTTTATCTTTTGATTTCTCTTTCGCTTCATTAAGAGCTGTTTCTACTTTCTCTATCGCTTTCTCTAACACGGCTTGCCCCTTGGCAGTGCCTTCTTTTTCTTTCCCTCCCTTAAAAGTTGCTAGTATTTTCTCTCTCTCTTTCGGGGTCATTTTGGACCAGATCTCTTTTACTTTCCCTTCCTTGAAAGCTTCTAGTGTTTTCTCTCTCTCTTCCGGGGTCATTTTGGACCAGATCTCTTTCACTTTCCCTTTCTTAAAAGCTGTTTGTGCTTTCTCTCTCTCTTCTGGAGTCATTTTAGACCAGATCTCTTTCACTTTCCCTTCTTTAAAAGCTGCTAGTGCTTGCTCTCTCTCTTCCGAGGTCATTTTGGACCAGATCTCTTTCGCTTCCTTAAGAAATGCTTCTACTTTCTCTTTTGGTTTTTTATATTTTGCTTCCTTCTCTTCCACTGCTGCTCCACTATCAAAATTAACATTTATTAATTTTTAGTCAAGAGTGAAAGAGCAGCCTAACTAGTAATTAAATCAATTACCTCCCATCTTTTCCAGATTGTAAATCTTCGCCCCTGCATTTCTCCGGGCAAATCCCCACAGCAAGAATCACCAACAAAACTACGACAACTGACGTCGTTCTGATCATCACCATATTTTTGTAAAAAGGTATTTTTCAAAATAATTAAATCGGAAGCTTATGAATCTGAACGAGAGAAGCATTGGTTTTTGTAAGTGAGACAGTTGGGAGTTTCTCGGATAGGGGCTCGTATATGTGACACGTGAAGGCTATTTGACCTCATCATCTCCACTTTGCATGGGGCTAACGTCTAATGAAATGTGTTGCTTGTTCACCTTACAAGCCCTTTTTTCCTCCACCAAATCAGCCAAACCATTCATTATTGTCTTATTCTCTAAAAAATATTTTCTTCCCTAAAATACATATTTGGTTGCACTTTCTATTTTTCCATCTTTTCCTTTTAATTTACTATTACTCTTAAATGAACATTTTTTTAATATATTTCTAAACTTTTAATTGATATTTTTTAAAATAGTGAAAGTTATTTTATATTATTTTAAAATGTTTATAATAAGTCTCTGTTATCTATTCCATCAAATTAAAACTTACATCAGAATAATATTATCGAATCAATTATGAATTTGGTTAAGTTTCGAGTAAGTTTAGGTGTTTAATAGTATATGATTTTTAAATTAACCATGTTAATCACATAAACTATATTAGACGCAAATTTTAAAGTTCACTGGCCTGTTAAAAAGTTACAAAAGGGTGAACTATATAAGTAGGTTTTTTGAACACCACTATTTTAGCACGTGGCATGCACCGTTTTCTTTCCATATGCTAACTTTAAGTTTTTTTTTTTAAAAATAAAAAGGAAGTTGAGTTTGTATTAAATAATTTATTGTTTATATCAACAATAAAATAAACTATTTAGTAATGAGTTATTTTTTCCGATACATTTTTATAGTTATTCTTCTTAAGATTATTATATAATGTTTTTAAAATAAATAGCTTACATTTTTGTTAAACTATTTATTTAAGAATACAATAATTTTTTTTATCCAACTTAATATATTTTTTAGAAAAAAAGAATTAAATTCTCTATTTAAAATATGGATAATTGAGTTATTTTTTATTAAAGGGGATAATTAAATTTTCCTTTATAAAAAAACTAAGGTCGTGTGGAAATGTGAGCATCACCATTCGTTTTTTTTTTTTTTCATATAAATGATTACAAATATATAAAATCAAAAATTTAATAGTGTCATAAACATAGATTAAGGATGCTACTAGATGCACGCTAAATACATTTAAAACCATTTAAAAAATCAAAACAATAAATTTCACTCAAAATAAGTAAACAAACTTTATTCACGATCCCATATTAAAATTTACCGAGAAGTAAAATAGATAACTTTTAATGCAATAAAAATAAAATGTTGAATTATTGCCTATGCAAAAACCCATTGGACAACCAATATCCGTATCTTTTTCCTGCTACGTCGTTGCTATTTTATGGAAGAAAAGATAGGGAGAAATGGGTGAGTATTAAAATACTCAATAAGTAACGGTGCTAGATGTCTCAACCCTACTATAAGAGAGTTATAGTAGGGTTGAGACCCTCACCAAGTGTGCAAGCGTCAGCAACAAGCATATGTCGCCCATCGGACCATGTTGAGGGCTGACAAGTGAAGTGTTGTGATGCGACCAAGGAGGATGGTGCATCATCTAACACACCATATGGATGTACTCAAGAATGTCTAGAGAAGGCATATGCAGAATACAAGGTGAAGGCGATATCGGTGGTGTCGGTGACAAGCTCAACGGGGGCCAATTGAGGCCCCGGGCCACGACCCTAGAAGTCGGGGTTCCGTCGAGAGTTTGGACAAGCGGCTTTAGAGTTAGATGCATATTAGTGAGATATGTAAGCACGCCAAGTTTCGTGTCAATCGGAGTTCAGACGTGCGCTCTACGTTGGCTAGTGACTCCTCGCCACTTTGCACGTACACGCCTG